ATAACAAAGTGTCGAGCAAACCTGTAAGAAATGCAACGAGAACCAACCTCCAAAGCCGGAACCACTCATCCCCAAGACTTTCAGACCGTGGCAAAAAGTTGAGATGGATCTCTTCCTTTATAAAGGAAGTGAGTATTCAATTGTCGTAGGCTACTTTTCTCATCAGGTTGTACGACTTACTAAGAAAACTGTGGTAGATCACTGTAAAGCCATCTTTGCTCGTCATGGCATCCCTGACATTGTAATCAGTGATAATGGACCACAATTTCGGCCATCAACAACTTCAACTTTTTGCGAAGTTTGCCCCTGAAGTTGGGTTTCGACACATTACTTCCAGCTTAACGCATCCACAATCAAATGGTCAAGCAGAGGCTGCGGTAGAAATTGTGAAAAACTTGATGAAAAAGAATAAAGATCCAGTCCTAGCACTCATGGAGTATCGGGCAACACCCCAGTCAAATGAACTCTCCCCTGCAGAACTTCTATTTGGACGGAAAATTCACACTACAGTTCCTGCACTTCATCATCACTAACCCCTAAAAACAGTGAATCAATATAAACTCAGGGGGAAGAGGAACAGGGAAAGATGGCGCAGAAAACGGCTTTTGACAGACCTATGCGGCCACGAAAAAGCGGAACTAATTGCAGGAGAGAAAGTTTGGGTTAAGGATCTTCGAAGTTGGGAAGTGTCATCTAGAAGGCTTCAGCACACGTTCATACATCGAGAAACTCATGTAGGGACCTACAGGCGGAACTCCCTTCTTCTTGCTTCTTCCCAACAACAAGTCGACCCCAGTGAGACATCTCCTGACAGTGAATTCCCCGCAGAAACTAGGGAGGGAAATCCGGGAAAGAACTCCTTGCAGAGGAGCTACAACAGCCGTCGCTCCAGAGATGAAGCAGCCATTTCCCTCACCTGGAAATGTGTAGCGATATAGGAGGAGATACAAGCGTTTCCAGCGCTAACCTCTTTCAAACTTTTTGGGGGAGATGTTGAGGGTTCAGACGAGAATCCTCATGCCACTTCGCAGCTTGCGGTGCCAGCATGGCCGCGGTAACCGGCCGAGTCCAGACTTCATGTTTTTATATTATCCTATCTTTTTATTATGCAACCTCTATCTCTAAAATAAAAGAGAGTGCAAATAGATCAATATTGTTTGTGCAGGTGATAATCACCAAGTAGGATGTACTGCGGCACATCAAGCAATTAGCCAATGTAGCCCCGCCTCAGTTCTGTTCAACTTGCTAGATTCCAGCTGATGTGGGAGCCAGGTCAATAAATTGATTTGTAAAGTTTCCCCTTTCCATTCTTCAACCACAAGAATCACCCCTACATGACTGCTACACCATGCACAAATTTAGACTGAAGAATTTGATCTCTTCAAAGGGGATACAAATGTTTTCTATAATATTCTTTTAAATAAAAAGATACAGTAGAACCTTTCATGAAAAACTGCCCAAAATGCACAGAAACCCCAGTTTCTTTTGTTGTGCATAGATTTTTTATCTTGCCTTTTTAAAGAAAATCAATGAGTCCTATTATCCTACAAAAAATATTTATTATACATTGCTAAACACTCATCTACACTTCACCAGCAACTCACTGAAGTGAAAAAAAAATTCTATATACATTCTTCAGATATGCAAATAAATCTAATTTTAAAAAAATACATTTTACAATAAGGAATTTGTATACATAACTTCTAACAGCTTGAACAATTTACATTTTTTTCAAAGAAATTTCAAGATGATCACCTTCAACATTCGGCCCCATGATCATCTTATATCCTTTTCATCAATAGTTATATTTTCAAAAACACAATCAGAGTCAAATAGGAAAAAGTAGTGACAGGCCAGGTGTCATCTGAAGTCTTGAGGGAATGTATATGATCCTTCACATCCTTCTGTCTGCAAGGAATGATGAATAACCTATCATTGATCTGTATGGGTATTTCTTCATGAGTTCAGTTTCAATAATTTCATCTTCCTTAACCTTTGGAGGTAACCAGGTACCTGTTTTAAATATTAAAGTCTAGTTTATATATGTTTCTATTCCCTTGTCGGTGGTTTCAAAATTAACTCCTAACAAATATTGGACTCTACCTAATTCCTCTATATCTAATTTTTTTTTGATTATTTGAATAGTTTTGTCAATTACAAATTTTTCAATTCCAAATAATACAATATCATCAAAATATACTATTAATATGACACAATTATTCATTTTGTATACACAATTGCACCATTTAATTGCCTCAAATCCAATTGATTTTTAAATATTTTAAAATCCTAATAGGCTTATTTAACTGACTATAATTTAACACTGGTTTTAATTCAACTGAAAATTTTGAATGCCTGGGGTGGTGTTGAATAAAAGAATTGTATTTAGTTCACGCTGTGGCTGGTAAATTGGATCAAAAAAATAAGATCGTAAGCTCCAAGTCTAACATGACAAAAGTTTCTTCAATTGAGCAACTTCATTAGTTGTTGTTGTTGTTGTTTCTTATCCCCTTGTATAAAGATTACACGAATTCCAAATGGGGTGTAGGGGTGCAGCTTTCGTTGATCATGGCACCATGATCCAGGCACACTTTGGTGAAAGTCTGACTTCATTAGTACTTGCAGTTATCAACTACTGAATTAGAAAATATTGTTTCAAACAATTCTACATTATGCTTAAAATTTCAACATCCAACACTGTGGTAGGGGCAAATGACTTGATAGTTCATCAAAGTTGAAAAGTGATCTTGAAAAGGCTCAGAAAAGCATATTTTTCATGATAAGGCACAATTTGGATTTTTAATTTTAAACACAATTTAATAAAATGAGAAATTTTACCACAGCTGTTAATGAAACGTTACACTATTTATTTGGATTTGGTCTTATTACTTTGTGTTTATAATCTACTAGCGGATGTGCCCGGCTTCGCCCGGGTTTCACCCGAGTGAATGTTTGTCTAACGAACATTTGTTAAAACAATTATCTTTAAACTTATAAAACGTACTCGGCTTCGCCCGGGGTTTTACCCGAGTAAAGGTTTGTCTAGCGAACATTTGTTAAAACAATTCTCTAAAAACTTATTAAAAAATAAAAAAGATATACAGTAAAACCCCGCTATAACGAACCCTGGATATAACGAACCTTCCCTTATAACGAACCCACGCCGATTCCCAATTCCATTCCATTGAAAATACCATCGTCATAACGAACTTTGCGATTTTTAGAATAACGAACTACCCCTATAACGAACCTATTTCGGGTCCCAAAATGATAAAATCTACTAAAAATACTATGCTTATAACGAACTTAGAATTGTAATTTGAAAAAAAATTAAAAAACAAAATTTTGAGCATGTTTAAAGCTCGCGGATCGCGATTTCAAAACAATAAATTTAGCGGCATTGTTTGTTTGATTTTTGCACTTTATTTTTGCTGTATGTTGTATAAATTTTTACACATTATACTTTTTATTAATTAGAATATCTTTGCATCCATTAAATTTGAAATATAAAAAATGCAAATGGCTTCCAAAATGAAGAAAACAAAGGCATTTTAAAAACAAAAGCATTATTTCATTAAAAAAAAAAAAGGCCATTTACAGAACTTTTCAAAGTGAAACAACATAGGCAAAATGTTAAGAACATATTAAAATAAGAGAATATAACTTTTCTATTATAAAAGATAAAATATAAAGTTATTAAAAATTGTTACAAAGAGGAATCAACTTCAACTTTTGCCGCGATCGCGATCGTACGTTTTAGAACTTAAAAAAAAAAAAAAGTCCAAATAAACGGTCCCGTGATGAAACAAAAATTATTTTTATGCCATTTAACTATGGTGATTTTAAAGTCAGCAATGTTTTGCATGGCAGGTTAAAAAAAAAAAAACGAAATCTAGACCTAGAAGAATATGGGGAAACATGAAATGGAAGAAAAACACTAACTTTATTTGAATGGTGCAATGCTTGGAAGAATGCTTTGAAACAACAAGGTATTAGAGCCATTTTTTTCAATAAAAATTGTATTATATAATGTGATAATGATGTTTTAAAATCATTTCAGATCTTTGAATATATATTTAATAAAACTTTGCCTAGGATTTGTCTTGATTTTTAACTTAGACATAGAGGTACATGTATGTTAATCATAAGAAGAACCTATTATTTAATGATTTCTATTATTATTCAGTATTAATATAAGGAAATTAGTCAATTAAGGGAATTAAAATAAAGTGACCACTATTAAGAGGCAGCCTCTTCTTGTGTGTATGGCTGTTTTTTAATTATACGGTCTAAAAATTTTGGAAAGTAAAAAAAATAGCCAAACCGTGGCTATAGTGAACCGTGGCTATAGTGAACCAAAAGCTCTGTCCCATTGGGGTTCACTATAGAGGGGTTTTACTGTATTTTGATAATTTGAAACTCGTAAATTTGAATCTCTCGATAAAGTGAACATTTTTTCCCGGTCCCTGTGTGCCTTGTCATCCTGAATTTTGTCTTTCCTAATTTTCTACATTAGAAAATCATAGTTTTATCTAGTGAACATTTTTTCCCGGTCCCTTGAGAAATACTCGATAAGTTGAATAAAATCAAAATTAATTGGTTCCCTCGGTAATTGGAAGTTAAAGGAATAGTATCTTCGCCTTGAAATTGTATCATTATTCTTGTCGCAAATAAATTGCCGTGTCATCCTGAGATAATCTTACTTTTGATAAATAATATTTAAGATAACAAACTTAGTGATAAGAAAACTTGTTATCATCGTCACAATGGGGGCGCTGCTTGCGAGTTAAATCTACAAATCTGCAAATAACTCTAAGGATATTCAAGATATTCATGAAATTATTTTTTAAAAACCTTCCCGGTGATATACCTAATAATATCCCAAAATTTCACGGCGATTGGATGTATGGTTTTTGAATCTATAGAGTACAGACAGACAGACATTCAATTTTATATATAAAAGATAATATAAATCAGTTTTAAAAATTGTAAAAAAAAAATGCATCGGCCGGGAATCGAACCCGGGCCGCCCGTGTGGCAGGCGAGCATTCTACCACTGAACCACCGATGCTTAAAAAAATGGCCATATTTAGGTATTCATTCCATTCCGGATTAGTCCGTGTAAAAAAAAGTTCTTCAAATGAAAAAAAAGAAATAGCCAAAAATACTAATCAAAATGCAGCCGAAAATTTTCCTCAGGTTTATAAAAAGCGACATGCAAAATTTGGTACCAATTGGTTCAGTAGTTTTTGATTTTATCGCGAAACAGACAGACAGACAGAAATTGACTTTTATATATATGTTATATTAAGATATTATTTAAAATGTTATATTAAAATATTTATATCTATGAAATTATAATTTTAAATAAAATATTTTAACATATAACATTTTTAAATAAAATATTTCATTATAACATTTTAAATAAATGATTTTAATATAACATTTCCTAAATAAAATCTTTATGTAACATATATATATATAGATTTACTCTTCATTGTTGGCTTTTTATCTTACATTCATTCTTCATTGTTGGCTTTTTATATTACATTCACTCTTCATTGTTGGCTTTTTATCTTACATTCACTCTGTTGGCTTTTTATATTATATTTACTCTTCATTGTTGGCTTTTTATCTTACATTCATTCTTCATTATTGGCTTTTTATATTATATTTACTCTTCATTGTTGGCTTTTTATCTTACATTCATTCTTCATTGTTGGCTCTTTATATTACATTTACTATTCATTGTTGACTTTTTATCTTACATTCACTCTTCATTGTTGGCTTTTTATCTTACATTCATTCTTCATTGTTGGCTTTTTATATTACATTCACTCTTCATTGTTGGCTTTTTATCTTACATTCATTCTTCATTGTTGGCTTTTTATATTACATTCACTCTTCATTGTTGGCTTTTTATATCATATAGAAAATCATAGTTTTATCTAATGAACATTTTTTCCCGTGTCACATTGCCGTGTCATCCTTAGATAATCTTACTTTTGATAAATAATATTTAAGATAACAAACTTGGTGATAAGAAAACTTGTTATCATCGTCACAATGGGGGCGCTGCTTGCGAGTTAAATCTACAAATCTGCAAGTAACTCTAAGGATATTCAAGATATTCATGAAATTATTTTTCAAAAACTTCCCGGTGATATACCTAATAATATCCCAAAATTTCACGGCGATTGGATGTATGGTTTTTGAATCTATAGAGTACAAACAAACAAACAAACAAACAGACAGACAGACATTCAATTTTATATATATAGATAATCCAAATTGTGCCTTATCAATTTTCTTTTTAATTGTAATATATTTCTTTCATACAAGGTATGTCCCATAAGTTCCTGGACTGGGTCCATAAAAAAATAAATAAATGAAAAATGTAAATGAATTCGACTGTTTATTATAGAAAAAATATCAGGCTACACGGTGGTACCAATATCGAGGCGGTACTTGCGCGCGCGCCAAGGTTATTCTAATTTATTTAAAGGTCACACCTAGCGCTGCAGCGATTTTACGATGGAACAAAAATTGAAGCAGAGGATTTGTGTGAAACTTCAAATATCAGCAACCGAAACTTTTGAAATGCTTAATAAAGCATTCCCCAATGACGCCCCAAAGAGAACAACTGTTTTTGAATGGCATTCTAGATTTAAAGCTGGCAGAATTTCCATTGAAGATGATCCTCGTCAAGGACGCCCAAAATTTCAAAGGACTGGTAAAAATGTGCAAAAAATCACCGATTTGATAGAAGAAAATCCTCAAACCACTTTGCTGGAGCTAGAGCAAGACACAGGCATCTCTAAAACAACGATTGGAAGGATCGTAACCAAAGATTTGAAGCTCAAAAAGACTCCTGCAAAATTCATCCCAAGATTCCTCACCAATGAGCAAAAACTGTGTCGGCTTGCAACCTGTGAGGACATGATGGAAATGACAAAAAACGGATCCAGAATGGAAAGACAAGATAATCACAGGCGACGAGACATGGGTCTATGGCTATGATCCTGAAACCAAACCAATCTGCCGAGTGGAGAGGTTAGGGTGAGCCTAGACCCAAAAAATCCAGAAACAAGGTGTTGCTGGTCGCTTTTTCAGATAACAAGGGCATTGTTCATCACGAGTATCTTCCTGCAGGCCAAACAGTTATTAAGGAAATGTATTTGGGCATTCTTCGCCGTCTAAGGGAAGCGATTCGAAAAAAAAAGGCCAGAAAAATGGACTAATGGTGGCTGGATCCTACACCATGACAATGCTCGCCCTCACACAGCGCACTTGATGACTAGCTTTTTGGCGAAAAACGGGACACAAATCCTACTTCAACCACCCTATTTCCCAGACATCGCACCAAATGACTTTTTCCTGTTCCCCAAACTTAAAGCAGTTCTAAAAGGAAGACATTTTGACACCAGGGATGACATAATAGAAAAATCGCCGTTAGCATTGAAGAGCATTCCAAAAGAGGCTTATAAAAACTGTTTCGACAATTGGGAGAAACGATGGCGCTGGTGCGTTGAAGCAAGGGGGGATTACTTTGAAAAGTTTTAATAAAAAAATTTTTTAAAAAAATCTTACCTTTTTTTTTTATGGACCCAGTCCGGGAACTTATGGGACATACCTTGTATATACAGTAAAACTCTACTAATACAAACCCCAGATATAACACACATAAATGGGCCAGTGATGCAAGAAAAAAATTATACCATTAAATACCAAGGCATCTTTTGATGAATAGTAATTAAACTATTGATTCTTTCACTTTCATCTACTTGATAGTTTCTAATTCATATAGTTTAAGTCAAGATTTAAGGCGAATTGAACCTTTCTCACCGCTAAATTTTTCTAAATTTGTTTACACCTACCACCATTTTACCTTTCTTGCATCGTAGCCTTTTGTATGATATCCTTTCGTAGCTGCGCCAAAATTTAATGTAACGTTTTGTGTTAAATGTTAAAATGTTGTAATAGTAAACATATATTTTACCATTACATTTTAAGGTTTTACATGGTTAATTTATTTGATGTTTAATAATAATGAAGATGCAAATTACATTGTTATTTTTGTTTATTATCGTTTGTTTATATATATTTAAAAAATTACATTGTATGGGATGATGATAACAAAAATGACTTTAAATTAAAATACAAAATCCATTGAAAAAAAGAAATAATTATAAAATTCAAAATCGTGAAAATATTCATTTTAAAAGAGAAAAATGTTAATAATGAATAATTTTTTGTCAGGATTCATAATTTAAATATATCACCATTTTAACATGTCTGTTTGAGGTATTGAGTTTAAAAAATGCTTAATGAGTTTTACTATATGGAAAAATAGAAATTTTTATTAACAGAGGCATGTGTAACATTTCAAATCATGTTCTATATACACAACTGAATACTTGAATTAATCACAAGATATTTTGGTGGATTATTTAAAAATAAGCACATACTGGACATTTATAATATATATGTTTTTTTTTCCAGATATACAAAGAAACAAAAGTAATAAGCAAAAGATCGGTTCTTCTAATTATGCAACCCCCCGCCCATATGTCTAAAAAATTCAAGAAAAGTATAATACAAATAAAAGTTATATTAATAATATTTAAAGGGTAAAAAATTCATTTTAAATTAATATTATTATACTACAATATAGGCTTACTTTTAAAAGTCATATTTTTTCTGCTTTAACCTGTTCATTCTCATTAACACGAATACATTGCTCAAAATTTGTGGTTCCTTTTGATATTCCTTCAAGGTTTAATAAATTTAAAGAATCTTGTGGGGCTATTTCATCTTGAGGGCTTCCGAACCCAGACATGGTAGGGCAATTTACAATGGTTGATTTAGAGACAGAGTCCCATGACATATTCAACCATTCTATTGAATCAAGCAATGTAATATTGGTCTCTATTGTTTTCAATGTATATAAAGCATCTATTGATTAACCTGATCTTATATCTCCTTTTAATATCATGAATTATTTCCATATCCATAGGTTGCAGCCTGGATTTGGCATTGAGGGAGAGAAATACTGCCTGAATATTTTTCAATTTTTCAGGGATGTGTGCTGAATAATTGTCTAGAATTAGCACCACCTATTTTCACTGTCAAAATACTTACCTAAATAATGAAGATATTTTTTAAAAATTAAGACTGTCATTCAAGTTATTTTATTTGCTTCATAATGGGTGGAAAGATTTTTTTGCTTTCTAAAACATCGTGGGTTGGCATTTTCCCTATAACCAGGAGAGGAAGCTTATCTGAGCCATCCATATCAGCTCCAGCTAAAAAGGTAATTCTCTTGTTTGGCCTCTTTGTTCCAGAACAAATGTTTCCATTGAAGGTGAGTGTCTTGTCAGGCAAAATCTATAATATAATACGCACTCATCAAGATTATAAATATTGGAGGGAGAATACTTGTCGAAAAAAGCACGTATTTTCTTTCTCCATCTTCCACCACCAAAAGGTTCATTGCCCTTTTCTCTCTACAAATTAAAAAAATAATATTTCCTCTGGCCTTAATTAAAGCACCCATTACTGGCTTCAAAATCATCATATTTCATACCCATGGCATAAAAGAATGGCCTGTTGTTGTAAAATGTGGCCATTTAGTGGGATATTTTTGGCCTAGCTTGTACAAGTCACTTATACAAGGCTTCTTCTAAAAGGAGATAATGACACTGATGTTTGCGGCCAACTTCTTTTTGGCCCCATATCGTAGAATTGCTACTTTTGCTCATTTTCTTCCAAAGTTTCGATTGCAATGTACCACTTTCATGTATCAATACATGTTTGTATGATGGCTATTTTCTTTTCAAGTGTATAATGTTACAAGTGACTTTTTCTTTGGAACTTATTTTGAAACCAGTTTCAATAATTTGTCCATTTTATTTTGACAGGAATATTACGAATATAAAGAAATTTAGTTTTCAATAAAGGTATAAAATTTATAAAAGTATGTAGGAAGTAAAAAATAGAACGTAAATGAAAACACCAATGTCGCTAAATTCATTGTTTTGAATTGCGATCTGTAAGCTAGAGCTCACACAA